AGGTCATGATCCTGGAGTCCCGGGATCGAGTCCCGCATCGGGCTCCCTGCTCGGCAGGGAGTCTGCTTCTCCCTCTGACCCTCCCCACCCTCATTCTCTCTAATAAATAAAATCTTAAAAAAAAGATTGATAGAAATCACTACATAAAATGTGAAGCTTTCAAGTGTCCCAAAACTCTATAAGCAAAATTTAAAAATTGTATAAACACATGCGTGCGCATGCGTGCACACACAGAGGCATACCTCATTTTATTGTGCTTCACTTTATTGCACTTCATAAATATTATGTTCTTTACAAAGTGAAGGTTTGTGGCACCCTTGTGTCAAGTGAATCTGTCAGCACCCTTTTCCCAGCAGCATCCGCTTGCTTTGTGTCTCTGTGTCATCCTTTGGCAATTCTTACAATATTTCGAGCTTTTTCATTATTATTGTATTTGTTATGCTGATTTGTGATTAGAGTTTATGAGTCATTGAAAGCTCAGGTGATGATTAGCATTTTCTAGCAATAAAGTATGTTTTAATTAAGGCATGTACATTGTTTTTAGACACCAAATAGACTACAGTATAGTATAAACATAACTTTTATATGCACTGGGAAGCCAAAAAATTCATTTGACTTGCTTTATTGTGGTAGTCTGGAACCAAACCCCTAATATCTCTGAGGTATGCCTTTACGTACATACATACATACATACATACATACATTTATTTACTGATTTATATAAAATTTTAGGTAGTGATATGTTTGAAGAAGAACATAAGGAGTGAGGGAGTTACTTTATTTAGGGTGATCAGGGATGACTGTAAGGAGACATCTCATCTGAAATCTGAATAAAGTGAGGGCAAGTTGTGAGAATATCTGGGAGTAGGAACATTCCAGGCCAGGGGGACAGCAAATGCAAAGGTTCTGAAGCAGGAGTGAGCTTGGTGTGGTTAAAGAACATGAGAAAACCAAAGAGCCTGGAGGGAAGAGAGGTAGCGGGAGACTAGCTAGAAGTCTGTGGCAATGGCTCAGGCAAGAGGTGAAGGTGGCGAGGCTAAGGGAGAGGTGCTGAAGCGGCTGGATTGGGGACTGCCTTTGAAGAGAGAGCTGACAGGTTTTGCTAACGTATAGTGAGCATGGGTGAAAGAGAAGAATCAAGGACAAGTCTTAGATTTTTGGAGTGAACAATTGGATGAGTGGTTGTGCTGTTTATTAAGCAGTTTTGGGAGGAGAATCAAAGCATCTCTTTTGGATGTTAATTTTGGGGTGGGCAGTAAACATTATACTCCTTATTTTCCAAAATGTCTAAAGTAAACACGTATTTGTTAATACATGTTTTACTTCATAAAGTCATTTTGAAAACTAAATGAAAGAAAAATAATGAAGACTTCACCCCAGAATTTCATATCAGCATCCAATATTTATGTTCATTACTTTATGTTCTCTTTAAGTTCTTAACATAGTTTTCTTTTCTTTTCTTTTTATTATTTTTCTTTTTTATTTTTTTAAAGATTTTATTTATTTGACAGAGACACACAGCGAGAGAGGGAACACAAGCAGGGGGAGTGGGAGAGGGAGAAGCAGGCTTCCCGCTGAGCAGGGAGCCCGATGTGGGCCTTGATCCCAGGATCCCGGGATCATGACCTGAGCCGAAGGCAGATGCTTAACGACTGAGCCACCCAGGTGCCCCTAAGTCCTTAACATAGTTTTCATGTAACTGTAATAATTGTTTATTTGGGGGGAAGGTAATTTTTTTCTGATTTTCCCCCTTCAACTTGATTTCATAAGACACTTTCATGTTTCTATATGTCTATATAATAAACAATCATATTTATTATTTTAATGACTGCATAATATTCTATAATTTTTTCTCATAATTATTTTAAACTTTCTTCCTTTGTTAAAATTTATAGTTGTTTTAGGACTTACTACTAATCATACTACTTTAAACATCTTTGTACATATTTTTTCCTCTGTACTGGTTTTCTTTAAATTGATGGGATTATTTTTTTTTAAAAAAACATTTTGTTATGGAATATTCAAACGTACCCAAAGGTAGAAAGAACAGTCAGTATTCATATTTCCCCAATTGCCGTATTATTTTTTTAACAATCTGTTTGAATCAGGATCCAAATAAGACCTATATATTACAATGGTTGATATGTTTCCTAAATCTCTTTAGGGGGCCCTTTGTATCTTTTTTTTCTTTTTGTTGAAGAAACTAGGTTTGTGACCTGTAGGATTTTCCACCATTTAGATTTTACTGTGTCCCTTGGTGTCATTTAACAGCATGTTCTTCTGTCCCCTGTATTTCTAGTAAATTGGTAGCTGGCTCTAGAGGCTTATTCAGATTCATTTTCTTTCTTCTTTTAAAAAAATACTATTCCATAGGTACAAAGATCTGGTTGTGTCTTTTTTGGTGATGAGCCAAATCTATGAAAGAACATAAGTATACTCTTTCAAAATAAATGTGAGAGAAATTAGGTAGAAATTGTGGTGAGAGAAATATGGGTGGTGTAGACTCATGGTTTTACTTGGTCTAAGATAGAATAACGTCTTCTTCTCTTGCAGGAGGCTGAGAAAATGTTAGAAATGGGGGGAGACAAATTCCCCTTAGAGAGCAGGAAGTTACTAAGTAGTCCTGGCAAGAACAACAGTTTCAGGTAAAAAACTCCCCAAACACCAGGGAGATGACTGTTTTGGTTATTCTGTAAACACGTGGCGTCGTGGTGGGGGTGGTCACACATGCAGCTGCTGGTATAAAGAGCTAAAGTTCAGCCTCCCAGCTCCAACCTGGGAAAGTACCTTTTCCTTTCATGGTTTCCTGAGCACCTGCTATGTGCCAGGCATCACACCAGGTGCTGGGAATCACCAGAACAGAGGTAAGGGAGCCCATGTACTGAGCGCCTTCTCCGTGCTAGGAATGTGCTAGAAGCTTGACTTACGTATTCTCCTTTAATCTTTACAACAGTTCTCTGATGTAAGCCTCGTTATCCAAGTTTGTACAATGAG